CAATGCAGGCCCCACATGGCGTGCGATCCAAGATGTCAAGACACCTACTAAAATGCATGATATGTCTGGGACAGCTCACCTGTCACGGGTCCTTTGCTCAATTCCGTGACACGTAGGCTGCCCTTGGTATCTGGGTGCCAGGGTACGAGAGACCGCAGGTTGGTTGAACTTGGGAGATGCTTCATAGTGGTTTGATACCGTGACGATGGCACGGTCCACAGTACTTGCCAGTGCCTATACTCTCGGAATCGAGTCGGATCTCGTCCATGATTGTGAAGATTCAGAAGGACATTGGCAATGGATACCCACCGAGCATCGCGAACGACGAGAGCTGGGCAGTGGAGGTTGAACTAAGATGCATGCAGTGCAAGCAAGGAGACAAACAACTGAGGCGCTGTGGAAGACGCGATGGATGGGATCACCAATGGACACCCCCTCCCTGATTCAGATAAAGCTTGATTGCTCAAGAAGCACTACTGGGAGTCGCAGTCGAGATGATGTATGCGTTCGGCCTGCAAGGTCAGGTCAGCAGGCAATGCCAGTTGAATCCAGCGGAAGCTTTTACCAGTGTTGATGAACTCGCATGGTGCCAAACTCAAGGAAGGGGATACAAGACAAGGATGACCATTATCTGCGCGGCTAGTACGAAGCGGCGCAGGAAAAACTAGTACGGTACGCAGTGCATATATGAACAAGATCCGGCCGACGAGTGAGTACTCTGGCGTACGTGTGATAGCTACAGTGGGTGTATGCGGATGGGATGAGTCAGACTGACTTAAGAGACTAGGACTACAGTAGTTTGACTAAGCGTATGCTGTCCGAGAGGAACGCGAGGCAATGATAGATGATATATGGAATGGAAAGCGGGCATGGAGGTCGATACGAGATAACGGGGTACGGGATGAGGTGAGAGATGAGAGATGAGATGATGAGATGATGAGATTGGTATAATGAGATGGACTGCGAACGGGGGGACGAGAGTGCGATATGGGAGAAAACGGACAACAGCGGAGGGCTGCAGACGACGAGAGCGAAGCACGAGCCATACTTATGGATAAATAACGTGTCCAAGTGTCCGAATAAACTGACACCGCGCAGCGCAGTCAATGAGTTCCGAGCCGAGACCAAGGACCAAGGAGCGAGGAATGAGGAATGAGGGACGAGGGACGAAGGCAGGCTCGCCGAGTCGCCGTTCACTGCTCGCAGTCGAACTCGAGATCGGTCGCCACATCCTCCCACGCCTTCATAGTCGCAAGCAGCTTGTCGGTCTTCGCCCTCACGTCCACGTACGCATCGCGGCCCATGACGAGCCACATCGGCCACTCGCGCCCGACCGCGCGGCCCTCTTGCCGGACGACGTCGACGAGGAGCTCCATCGCCTTGGCCGGGTCGCCCTTCTCGTGGCCCGCGATGGCCGCAAAGCGCGCCATGCCCGCGTTCCGCATCTCGTCGTAGACGGGCACGGGGTGGTGTATTGTGGCCGGGTATGCGTGCACGCCCTCGGTCCGGAACGAACCGGGAGCGACGATGGTGACGCGGATGCCGAATGGCCGGAGCTCTGCGGCGTACGTCTCGCCGATAGCTAAGAAGAGGGGGTGATAGAAAAGGGATCAGTTGTATGATCCTCGAGGCGCGCAGGGGGGGGAGAGGAAATGGGATCGCGGAGCGCGCGTACTCACCATGGACGGCAGCCTTGGACGCGGCGTAGAGGCCGGCGGGCGAGACCTCTGCGCGCCACGCGGATCGGGAGCCAATGATGACGACCGTGCCGGACCGGCGTTCACGCATGTGTGGGAGGACGGCGTTGGTGACGTTGAGCACGCCGAAGAGGTTGGTCTGGAACTGGGTGAACGCGGCGAGCGAGCCCCCCTCCTCGAGCACGGCCTTCACGCCGTAGCCGGCGTTGTTGACGACGACGTCGATGCGGCCCCACACGGCGAGCGCGTCCTTGACGCGCTGTTGCACGACCTCGACCGGGTCCGAGACATCGAGCTGGAGGAGGTGGAGACGGCGTTCTGATTGGGGGAAGACGGCGCGGAGCTTCTCGGGATTGCGTGCTGTTGCAATAACGCAGTCGCCGCGTGCGAGGACTGAGGCTACCAGACGCTTCCCGAAGCCAGACGAGGTACCTGCATTGGATGGGGGCCCGTCAGCTTCCATAGCGCGCTTACGATGGCCACGCGAGGATTGACGTACCGGTGATGAACCAAATCTTTTGCGAAAAGCCGCCCATCGCTATGCTGGTGTGTGTGCTGGGAAGGGACGCGGGTGGTAAGAAAGGCAAGTTGCGAGACACGAGAGGAGAGGTAAAAGGCAGAAGAGCACTTTGACTGAGGGATGAGTGGATGAGAGGATGGCACCGAGCGGGCTCTACATATAAGTAGTCATGCGGGAAGGTAACCGGATGTGTGACGGGAACGCTCCGACGGTAGCTGTGTCGACGAGGATTGTTTGAAAATATGAATAGTTTGCAGCCCTGATTTGAGACGCTCTGCGCAGACTGAGATTACCTTTCCCCCGCCTCCGAAACGCACCCAAAACTGACGCGCGCCCTTTGACTCCGCGGCGGTGCTCAGACGAGATCTCGCGCGCGCAAGGCACGATCCGTCTCTCCCGTGGCTTAATGGCATCCCGGCCTGCTGGGCCGCCACACTCGAGCTCGCTGGCGGCTGCCACGCGCATATTATCCAGAATTGAAGGACAATCCCAAGTTTTTCGATCGTGTTCCGACGCCGGATTAATATTCCTCTGGATCAGTTGTGGTGCGCGCACAAATACCCGACAGACTGGGTTGTGCGAAGAGTCAGAATCAGAACCACAGGACGAGTCAGCAGAGAGTCCGTGCTTACTTGGTTCCGCTCACCAATCCGACGCTGTGTCATCCTAGGCCTCGGCGACGTAGTGATGTAGTCGATGTCGAATACCGTGACTTGAAGCCTTCCGGATTTCCATCCGTCTCGACGGACCTCTCGCGAGTCGCATACGACCCGGTCGGACAACGAGGCAGCACCGCCATTGCCTCATGCCCGCTCACGTAACGTTTTCCCAAATGCCTGGTGCTCGTCTTCTCCCATTCGGGAAGCTCCAGCGCTCAATGTCTCAGCACCACGAGAGCAATGATCAACTCAAACGTCTCAAACTCGACTGCGGCCGTCAACCGTATGGAGGCAAACGCGCCGCAATCGCCGCCCCCCGGGCGCACCCCGGTTTCAGCCATCGCCATATCCAAAACGAGATCGCACAGCTTGCGCATAGTACAACGTTCAACGAAACCAGACACCTCGAGCTCGTCAAATCGTGGCCGGCCGGGTCTTGGGTGGATCATATCAATGTCCTTTTGCATATTGTGTGACTCGATGCGGTGGCTAATCGTAGCTAATCGACCCGGATGCGCGGCATGCATACGCACGCTTGGAAACGGTGTCTCAGGTTGAGGGTGAATCAGAACACTGTATCGATGTGGCGAAGAATGCACCCGATCCGCGGGACCATATTCCGCGGACAACAGCATGTCGTTGGGTCCGGGCCGTGCACTGACCCGTCTGTGGAAGCAGAATAGAGCAGCCTATTACAGCTCGGAAGGAAGGAATGTCGATCTCGCGGGACGCAGCCGGCTCTTGATTTCGGCCGTGTGCAGTAAGTGTATCCGCAACGTTCCGAACAAGTGGTGTGTTCTAACTTTGGACGGGCTTCACCGTGTGCTTCACATCCAGGCTGCCACCCTGCGGATTCTCGTACACCGGACGTGGTAGCATGGCGAAGCTGCGTCAACCGAACGAGCACTGTCAGTGTCATAATCACTCGCAGCAGCGTATGATGGTTGATTGAGAACGGGCCACGCACCCATCCATCTCGACCTGTCATTGCGACACCAGGTCCCGGCTCGCCGCCATTCACGCGTTCTCGTCGCACACGCACACGCACACACGGCGATGGCCAGGCCAGAATGAGAACGGAAACGTATGCCGAATGTTCACCCGCCTGACAGTCACCAGAGGGACAGCAACCAGTCGCAGATCGCAGGCTCGACAAAGTTCACGCACGCGTGATTCTGCGAACCCAGACAGATGGGACGTACACGTCATGGACTGAGCACTGATGTGCCCTGCCTCTGTCCTGGTCGCGTCCAGGCCCCCAACACACGACGGAGATGTCCTGCCGGATAGTTCCCCATTACAACGAACGGCAGGGACAGGTCCCGTCTGTAGCCAGCACCACAACTGGATCCACCCATGACGTGCAGCACGCAGCATACGCGGGACAGTATCATTCAAAGGAAGACCCACGAACGCATTGTATTATTTTTTGGCAGGCGATGCGGGCTGCGGCTGCATGGGTGAGGGTCTGTGGAATTGTGAGTTGTGGCAGTGTCAGAGCATACTCACCTTCAAACCTTCGGGCAAAAATTTTGCTTCTCGCTCTCCTCCCGCCGTTTCTGCAGACTTCCCTTCCTACCGCATCCCGATCGGCCAGACTCCAGGTCGCGCTCGGTATCCGGCAACTGGAGTATACCCGTCCGGGTATCCACCTCCATCCTCGAGGCCATCCGGCACAGGAACCTACGAGATGCAATGCATCGATGTGATACAGCTGAGACACGCCCAGACTCCAGAGTCAACGGGTAGCTGAAATGCAGTGTCTGTCGACTGGTGACTGTTCGGTGCCTCTGGTCAGGAATCGCTTACCACAGAATTGGACATGAGCTGGAGTTGAAGAAAAATATGACCGCATGGCTGTTGGCAATACACGGCCAATTGAGGCCAATCAGAGTAGCGGTGATGTCGAAGCCGTATGTGATATGTTGGGCTGTCAGTGCATAGGTCGCCGGGAATGGTACACAGAAGCCGGGGCTAGACCAGTAGTTGATGAGAAGTCAAGTCAAGGACCTGTTTTCAACTAATTAAACGACAGCAAGCAGAACATTCGACGTCCTTGCAACTAGAAGGGGATCGTGGGATTGAAGTGCGTGATATAGATACAAGCCCTACATGCTGCTTAAGTCCCGCTTAGCTCAGTGGTAGAGCGCATCACTAGTATCTCCGCAAACTCCCGTGCTATGATGAGGTCAGTCGTTCAAGTCGGCTAGTGGGAATACACCATTCCTTATTCTTTTCCCTCCTTAGATTGTGATTGCCATTGTCACTATGACTACAGAATGGATGAGTTTCGTTCTCGTTAATTTCAGGAGCCGTTTGAGTCATGGGTGTAACTGGCTAGGACCGCATCTAGATCTACCGTGCTTCTACGAGAGATTCGGAACGATATCCGTTGGCTCTTGAGAATCGGGTGAAGTCCGCCCCGAAGAGAGGTATGTCATCTTGACTCGACTCAACCCTCCACAGTGTACTAGTCAGATACACCGATATGCCAGCGGAGTCGAACGACCCTCTGCCCCTCATCCGGAACTCTGTCCTCACAGCGCACGCCGCGATAGCATCTCTCATCCATCGCACGCCGGTGTTCACATCCACCTCGCTGTCCCAGTCCCTTGCTGCGAACAACCCGCTGTACTTCAAGGCCGAGAACCTGCAGAAGGGAGGCGCGTTCAAGTTCCGGGGCGCCAGCTACAGTCTGTCGCGGTTGACATCAGATCAGCTTGCGAAGGGTGTCTGCACGCACAGCTCGGGTATGTAGTAGTTGTCGCGATAATGATATCGACGGACCCACATTTCAGTTCAGTTCCGAGCGCGCGCAGCTGTCCTCGTCATCCGTATACTCATTGATCGGTTCGATTGATAGGGAACCATGCTGGGGCCCTCGCGCTCGCTGCGAAGGAGCGCGGAGTCAAGTGTTATGTGGTGATGGTACGTGCGCAGCCATGTCTCTCCATCTTCTAATACAACGCTCATCGATTCCTCCGACCGCATTTGACTGCGAACGCACGGCGGGTATGTTCATGACGCGCATTGACTCGGGTCGGACTTCATTTCCGGACTTGGACCTTAATATCGATTTCGGCCGAACGTGCGCCATGGACCGGATCTCGCATAACCACCTCTGACATGGACATGGCTCTTCGACCGTGGTGGCACGCAACAACTGAATACAAATTCTAATACTTCTATTATCATACTATACTAGCCCGACAACTCTGCGCAGCCCAAGATCGACGCCGTGCGCGGCTACGGCGCCTCCATCACCTTCTGCCCACCGACGGCCCCCTCCCGCGCCTCCGCCCTCGCCCAAGTCCAAGCCGACACGGGCGCGACGTTCGTACCGCCCTACGACGCCGTTGACACGATTCTGGGGCAGGGCACCGCCTTCCTCGAGCTCCACGAGCAGGTACCCGGACTCGCGGCAGTCGTCGCGCCCGTCGGCGGCGGCGGCCTCCTCGCGGGCACGGCGCTCGCCGCGGAGGGCACGGGTGTGCGAGTGTTCGGGGCGGAGCCTGCTGGGGCGGACGACTGTGCGCGGGGGTGGAGGAGGGGAGGAGGAGGGAGGAGGTCAGTGCGCGGACGATCGCGGACGGGCTGAGGACGCCCGTGGGCGTGCTCAACTTTCCGATCATACAGGAGAAGGTCGAGAAGGTCATCACGGTCTCAGACGAGGTGCGTATGGGCGTTGTGCGCCAGGCCGCCGTGTTGGTTGTTTGTTCTCTCTGTCTCTGTGTGTGTGTTCTGTTAGTTTTCTCTGCGCTTGCGACGCGCCACCGGCATTCACAATGTTTTGAGCTTCTTCTTCGATTCGAGATTGTGGCGTTGCGGTTGACTGACGCTTTACCAATGTCCAAATTACAGGAGATCATCGAAGCCATGCGCCTGCTCTGGGAGCGCATGAAGCTCGTCGTCGAGCCGAGCGGCGCGGCGGCCTTTGCTGCGGTCAGGAGCAAGCAGTTCCAGGAGCTCGGGGTCGAGGGCCCCGTTGGGATCATCATCAGCGGCGGAAACATCGACCTGTCGCAGCCTCTGCCGTGGGCGCGTAGCGGTGCTGCATCATCCTAATAACCTTGATTCCCGGATGGGCCGCTTCTTCTTCTTCCAGGGTTCAAAAACTCGACAGTGGCACATTCTGCCGAATGCGAATGGTGTGGCGGGTGCAAAGCTGTTCGGTCGCGCCTTGGATATTGTTTCTATTGATTCCAAGTAACGGTGGCCCTGTGGGAGATTCGCTCACCAGTGACGAGCGGACGGACGGATCTGTAACACTTTCGCCGCTCGGACGAGAATAGAAAGCCGTGATGACCGAGCGCAGTTGAACGAGATAGAGCACCGTCAGTCCAGGAGTCCGGCCTGCATCCGTCAAACCGTCAAACCGTCAATGCGGTCAGTGCCCTCGTGGCGTCCGCGTCGACTCCCAAAATGATCCTCCACGGTCCGTCTGCCGGTGTTTGGCGACCGGTGGACGCCACAGCCCACAGTAGACAGCTGGAATCAGTGCCGAACGGTGGTGACTCGGCACAACGCCCTCTCGGCTGGGACTTGGCGATACTTAGGTTCTTGAACACGACGTGAACGACGCCCGGGCGCGAGCGATTTTTCCTGCTTCCGTGACGCTGAGCTCAGCTATTAGGAAATGTGAACCCGACACATACACGCGCACCGGTTAACAGAGAGCAGTAGTGTACGGCTTCTGTCCGCTTGAAGGAATATCAGTGGCACATGCTGCTCTGCGACACCTGTCCATCATGTTCACGCACGGTCAGAGTCATTCCACCGTCCATGCGCAGTTGGCACTACTCATAGTGCAGGCGTCCTGGTAACCAGCACCGAGTAACAGTTGTTGCCGGCCATCAAGCGGGGAACTCGGCCTGTCTGTGAATCAGTCACACTGCCCACACTCGCGTCGGTCGAGATTCACACCAGGCATGGGCGAACTTAGCTCTGGCAGCAGCGTCTTGCCACTTGACACTCGAGGATCCTGGCGAAGCGTTCATGCAATCCATGCTCCAAAGCCGAGTTGTGATGTCAAAACTCAAACATATGCATGAAGTGGCACTGCTGCTGGCATGGAACTTGAATGTGCGCAGGTCCGGTGAACTAGTAGACATGGTGCATGCGAATCCCATTGTCTGGCAAGGTCGTGGTGGTTCAATTCCACCGCCGGCCGGTCTTCCAAGAATCCCGTGAAGCTGTGCCAGGTAATGTAGCTTAACCGCATCCCGGAAGGGCCATCATAGTGCCACGTTTGGCAACTACGATGGTACTCGCCCACAAACCGCATCATACATTGCAGTCAGGTGTCTTCTCTCCGTGCATCGATACACACCCGTGCAAGTGCAAGCGAACGATGTCACAGCCAGTAGGACAAGGGTGATTACAAAACTATATATCGTGTCAAATCCAAAGCCAAGTACGAATACACACGCATATGCGTATCTCATCATCAAGGTCGTGATCTCGTGTCGCTGTGTGGGCGTATGTGTATGTGTACAAATGATAGACGATGCATGCAGTCCAGAGTGAACCAGCCCTCCGCAGCCTCCACGTGCATCCCAGATGCCAGGGCTACCGCACCTCCTTCGGGGGCACCCAATCCGGGATAGTCTTCCAGTCAAACTTCTCGCTCTCGCTCCTGAACGCCTCCAGCGCCGCCTTCGGCACGAGGTCGATGTAGTTCGGCGGCAGCAGGTCGTCGTACTTTGTCGTACCGGGCTTGTACAGCTGCCTCCGCCGCGCCGCGGCAAAGTCCGGTTTCGTGGACTTCACGACAGCAGACGACGTCGTGCCGGCTGGGGGCGCGTTCTGTCCGAAGAACGACGTGGGACCCATAGACGTGGACGGGGTCGTCGTCGTGGACATCGCAGAGGGGAAGGTCGACAGACCGAGCCCGGACAAGCCGGGTAGCTCGCCTGACGACTGTTGGTTCGTGAGCGAGCTAAAAACAGAGGTAGGTTGCTGTTGCTGCTGGCCAGCGGTGGCGGTGGACGACGAGCCGAAAGCTGACTGCATGGGCGCGGATGATGGTGCGCCAAAGGCAGAGGTGGTGATAGTGCCACTGCCGAAGACCGATGTCGACTGTTGGTTGTTGCCTCCGCCGAACGCGGATGGTACGTTGTTGGTGTTGCCTGTGGTGGTGTTGGCCGCACCGCCAAAGGCTGACTGGCCGAACGCCGACCCCCCGGGTGCCTTGGCTGCTGCTGCGAGCCCAAACGCTGAGGGCTGGCCACCCGCGAAGGCGGAAAACGCGCCCCCGCTTGAGTTTGCGGTGCTGTTGGTCCCAGAGGAAGATGGGTTGGCGAACGCGGAGAATGCGCCGCCGTTGGAGCCAGCAGACCCTGCGCCAAAGGCAGAGGTCGCCGCGGGCTTCCCGAATGCACTCTGTCCGAATGCAGACTGTCCGAAAGCTGATGTTGTCTGTGGTGCCCCGAACGCTGACGGGACGGTGCCAGATGCTGGTTGCCCGAACGCCGACGTCGTGCTTCCTTGAGCAGGCTGCCCGAACGCTGATGTTGTCGTCCCCGGTGCTGGCTGACCGAACGCAGAGGTGCCGGCGGGCTTTCCGAATGCAGACTGGCCGAATCCTGATTGGCCGAATCCTGATGCTGGGGCGCCTTGTGCGGGCTGGCTGAAAGCCGAGGTGGTTGCACCCTGCGCGGGTACGCCAAACGCTCCGGTTGTCGAGCCCGTAGCGGGCTGACCAAAGGCTGAGGTTGTTGTACTTGAGGCGGGCTGGCCGAATGCGGACGTGGTCGCGGGCTGACCGAACGCAGAGGTTGTAGCATTTTGCGTTGGTTGGCCGAACACAGACGAACTTTGTGCTGGCTGCCCGAACGCAGAGGTTGTGGCGCCTGATGCAGGTGCGCCAAATGCAGAGGTTGTTGCACCCGACGCAGGCGCACCGAACGCAGAGGCAGTTGTGCCAGACGCAGGCTGCCCAAACGCTGAGGTGCCGGAAGCGGGTTGTCCGAAGACCGATCCCCCAGCCGGCTTACCAAACCCTGACTGGCCGAACGCTGACTGTCCGAAGGCGGAGGACGTTGTAGAGCCAGAGCCAAACGCTGATGAGCTTGCGGGACCGCTCCCGCCCCCAAACGCACCGAATCCTGAGGGTTTTCCGAACACGGACGTAGAGGCGGGCGCGCCGAAGGCGGACGTTCCTGAGCTGCCGAACGCTGATGTCGAACCAGGCGTATAGCCGGTTGGCGTCCCACCA